GATTATGTTTGTTAATTTGCTTGTTTGTTTTAATTTCGACTGCCAGTTCACCTTAACGGTAAATACCGATTTTTTGACAACTGATATACTGATATTTCCACGTGATATCTTAATCAGCGTTGATAAATGTCCACAAAACAAAAACAAAAATAAACCAAACAAATCAACATATATAACATTTCGACGTTAAGAGTGTGTGCATTGTACAAATGCAGCCAAAAGTACTTTATGTAGTCAATCATATAACTCATGATGAATTCTATGAAGACTTGTCTCTTTCCTTTGAAGAATATTTTAAAAGGTTAAGAGTACCTTAAAGGTTAAGTTGTACTTTTCAGAAAAGTGAGAAGTGCTTTGACATTGCTTTTTTGTTGAAATTTTTAAAAATATGCCTGACAAAAATAGTTACTTTTGACATATTTTATAATACTTACTATTTTGCCATAAAGCTGCATCTTAAATCTCTTGAAGAAATAACAGTCTTTATGTTGACCTTTTTCTACAAGCTCGGCATACTTATCTTCAGCATCAAAACCAAAACTGTCAATCGTCTGTCCATCAGGATTGATCAGAACTGAAGTTGGTCCTTTAATATATTTCGCATTTTCACTTATATACAATCTAATTGTACAAAATCAATGTACAAAAATATACAAAATCAAGTTATAAAAATGTTTTTAAGAACCAATTCTTAAATAAAGAAAACAAGTAACAAATATGTATTGTAAGTGTCGTTATTCACCTTATGTTCGATTTGTCTTTTTTGTTGTTGTTTTGTGGGTTTTTTTGTAGTTGTTTTTTCTCTTTCTGTTGTTTAGTTTTACAGACACGAACGGTCACCTTGTGTAGAAGCATAGATAAATAAGAATAAAGATCAACAAAGCAAGGGAACTTCACAGAACACAGCCGCCTACTCAATCAAGCAACACCAGTAGGGCACCTACTACAAATTGGGAGAGCACAATATATGTTCCGCAATCTGGCTGGGTTGTTTCCTCACAAAAACCCCAAACTGCCATTGTAACTATTTTACCTTTCCCGTTATGTTTTCAGAATTTTTTCCATGCGGCAATACTTTGACTAATTTATGCAAGCATGACGGGAAAAGTACAAAAGCTATATTGGAAAAACCTGTAACATTTGGATCGGATTTTTTTTGTGAACAAGCTTCATGTTTAGTATTCAAATATTGAAAAATTAAATGAAATATTAACAAATCAATTAGCGGTGACCCAATATTATCGTAAACAAATATCACGTGATCAACCACCTTGGTCAATAGACTTTCCTCTAGATGATCATTAATGCAATTTGTACTCTTGATAATACACAAAGTCTAAACAATACACTTTCTTATCATAACTTTTTTAGGTAATTAGTAGTTACATGTATATATTTTTATATATAATATGTAGTTTACCATTACCGGTGTGAGGCATTGTGATTTAACAAATGCTTAGACAAAAATCAGCAATAAATATTAAACATCAGTTTATTTTTTTAGGAGTATCCATTAATAAGATGTCAGTCTATGCAACATTACCGTTAAAAGCTGCAACCGCTACTACATGCAGCAAAATATTATACCGTTAATTGTAATGTAGAAAATGAATCAATTTACCTTTCAAAGATACGCCAGACTTTAAGCTTGTCCAGCGTTTTGCCCTGATCTTTGTTGGATCAGATTTACATGTATATTCATGTTTGAACGAAAATCCGCATGTTGAAAAAGTTGTTCCGCCACAACTAGAGGATTAGACATTGTTATAAAACTTAAACAAGAAAGGTCTGTATCATTATCTTTGAACTTGTCGTTCGTCTCAACTATTACTTCTTGCGGTGAAGATGGTACAAAGTAAATGATAGATGTGTAAACCATAAATGATTAGATAATAATCAAGTTATGAAGGGCATTTTATGTGACACTGATATGACCTTAATACATATGTTGTAAATAAGTTGAATGCCACTTGCTTGACTCCGTGTCGATGGTCTTGCTTTGCTGTATTTTCTTGGGGATGCTTTCATTGAATGTCGCCCTTCCTTGTTGAATTTTGTCATATTTTTACATTACAATGTAAAAATAAAATGAACTTAGTGATGTAAAAACATATGTCATGGACTAAAACCTTAAAAGCAAAAATGTTTTTGCAAGAAGGGCCTGGACTCTTTTTCCAGATATGTGTTGCATTTGATGTTAGTCTGGATTTCAGAATTTTGCATTATGCAGGATAACAATCGCACAATAAGTTTTATTAAAACTCTTTATAAACTTCTGTGTTAAGTTTTGCAAGATAGTCCGTTTTCAGTGTACCAATTGCGCAAACTAAGAATTTCAATTTTTATGTATTCATGTATCAGTGGAAGAAAAATGAAAATGTTTTCAGAAAGTTTCATGTTGAAATCACTTCAGATGTATAGTTGTATTACTATGCTTAATTTTTGTAAGTGTACCTAATAACAAATTACAAAATTCAAAGATAAGAAAGTACTAAATAAATATAAATGTTGGTTTGTAATTAGGCGGTCATTTTTTTAACATTGTAATCGATACATTAAATACCGGAAAATGAAATTATGTGGAGATGCCTGTAGCAGACAGTAGCGAGTTTGCTATCACCTGGTTACCTATTGGCGTATTGGACTTTGAGCCCTCGGTGGTCTTACTTATTTCACCCAAGTATACGTGTTTATTGCTCACATTTGAGACGTTTATCTCATCATAGGTCTGAAGTAATCTATAGGTCAGATATAAGATGAGTATGCGTTATCTAATTCAAAGTATGCCATATCTTGACTGATATACTTTGTTTGCTCAATTTTGATACGACAAAATACGCAGCTTAAACAATTTACTGCTTTGCTATTTATAAATAATTCATAAATTACACTAATGACTTTAGCACTATCCGCCTGACATAACGTGAGTATTTTATATTTTGTACAGTACTTTAAATATATCCACTTTTAGAAGCAAAGGTTTCGACGCATACCGCTTTTTCAGGATATTTAAAAGTACTACTTCGCCATGTGAATATGAAAGAGAATGAAAACTGAACAGGCGTTAGTAACTTCGAGAGTATTTGTTGAAATCGTCCACAAGCTGTGGTTGGACAGAACGTTGAAATTATAAAATTATAAAGTTCATTTCTCCTCAACTTTTCAAGGTGAATATTGAAACCTTTTACAGGCCCTCAGTCATGCAAAGGACGAAAATTCAGTTAAATATAACAACTAGCAATAGCTAACGAGAGTTCGATCTCTTCGGATACAGAAATATCACAAAGATAATAGATAATGTAAGCACTTCCAATTTACTACCATAGTGTTAATCTGATGTAAACAAATCAAACATTTTGTGAATAAACATCGTTATTTATTTATTTAAGGTAATATGTAATAGTTTACAACCAAGCTGCAATCTTTAAAATAGAAAGAATGGAAGTATTGTAGAAAATAACTATAAAATTGACGGCCGTGGTAGATGCAAGCAATCGGTCAAAGCCCTCAATTACCAGCTTACACGGTAAGAAAATGATGGCCTTTTGAATTATGTAAATACTGGTAACGAATGAAATACCATTTTAACATTAACAATCACGATAATAAAATCTAACAAGAGCCACCGCCGGGCTGGGGCAACGCTCGACTTTTTACTTTCTCTAAAAGCTAACAAAGAAATGTTTGAACAAAATCTTAACGTTTCCTTTTTTATAAAATTAATCGGTCTGTCTTGTCACATAAGTTTTGTCTATATATTTTGTATATATAAATATACTAAATTATATATATATATATAAATAGAAACACGCAATTCTATATATAGAAAATTCTATAAATAGAAACATGCAATTTTATAAATAGAAACACGCAATTCTATAAATAGAAAACTCTATAAATAGATACACGTGGTAGAGTCACGTGGTGGAATCACGTGGTAAAGTCACGTGGTGGTGTCACGTAGTGGTGTCACGTGGTAAAGTTCCGTGGTGGAGTCCGTGTGGTTAAGCCACGTGGTAAAGTCACGTGGTAAAGTCATGTGTTGAAGTCACATGGTAAAGTCACGTGGTGGAGTCACGTGGTAAAGTCACATGGCAAAGTCACGTGGTAAAGTGGTGAAGTCACGTGGTGGAGTCACGTTGTGGAGTCACGTGGTGGAGTCATGTTGTAAAGTCACGTGGTAGAGTCACGTGGTGGAGTCACGTGGTATGAAGTCACGTGGTGAAGTCGTTAAGTCACGTGGTGGAGTCACTTGTTGGAGTCACGTGGTAAATTCATGTGAGAGAGTCACGTGGTAGAGAGTCACGTGGTGAAGTCGTAAAGATGTGGTGGAGTCACGTGGTAAAGTCACGTGGTGGAGTCACGTGGTAGAGTCACGTGGTAAAGTCACGTGGAAGAGGCACGTGGTAAAGTCACAGTGTGAAGTCACGTGGTAAATTGGTGGAGTCACGTGGTGGAGTCAAGTGGGTGAGTCACGTGGTGGAGTCACGTGGTGAAGTCATGTGGTAAAGTCACAACAAGGTCTTGTCCTAAAGTATGTTCTGTTATAATATGAAGTTGATCCCTTCAATAATAGCAAAGTTACAGCCAGTTACAGCCAGTTACAGCCAAAACAATGAAAATTTCAATAATTTGAACTTCAAAGTCAAGGTCATTAACAAGTGAAGGTCAAGGTCTGTCTTGTTATTTTTAAGGTTTATCCTTGAAGATTATTATGTTCAAGTTTGAAGACAATCCATTCAAAAATAACAAAGTTACAGCCAGTAACAGCATGAACAAGCAAAATTTGGACTTTTAACCTTGAAGGTTAAGGTCATTTATGGATGAAGGTCAAGGTTAGTGTGGTCTTCTGAAAGGTCTTGTCCACAGAGTTGTTGTGGCCAAGTATGAAGACAATACACCAATACACCAAGAAATAAAAAAGTTATGATCCATGTACAAGTTTGCGGACGGCAACGGCAACGCCGCCGCGACCATAACAATACCTCTTCTTTTTTTTTTCAAAAAAAAAAGTCGAGCTAAAAAACTATCGTCATATTGTTTTAGACCGTTTGAATAATTCAATTTATTAATTTTGTATATTTTCAAAGTCTGAATTTTAATTGGATGATTATTATTGAGAAGAAAGAAACTACTAGATCGTATCGGATTGTCTGCTTACTTTTGCGAATGTCAGCTACTACGCATGTGATATATAGAGCAATTTCCTCTTTAAACTTACAGTTTCAATTATAACAAAGAAAATACTTCACAATTTCTTTAAACTCTTTTAGAGGAATGCCTTTCAGCAGCAGTAAAAATATCTGTTTCCAAAATCTTGTTGTTCTGTAGAGTTTGTACCTGACTTCAGTGTTTATAACTAAAAAAAGTTAAACATATAATCATACAGATTTTTCAAGATTACCACATACATGTTTATTTTCTATATATATATATACACCTGGATATTCTATTTGATAAACTAGTTATCCATTTTCCGTTCATACAGTAAAGTCCATAAAAATAAAAGAAACCCGACATTTAAAGGTAAAAAGCAAGGCAAAAAATAAATGCTGTACTTCAATAGCAGTCAATTCTGTCAGCCATTTTCTGTGATGAGTGTTTGTCAATGACGCAAAAGCTTCCTTCAGTAGCTACACATTTCCAAAGTTATCCCCAAAACGAAACTTTCACTTTCCTAAATGTCCCGTCTCTTGGGTCTTTCGCTTTAACTTCTATTTCTGTTCCACCGAAAAGAAAACTCAAATCAATGATTCTAAAACGCCCACCAGTCGTATCAGGTATTGGTAAGGTAATATATCCCAATTTCACACAACCTGGACTCGTAACTAGCACAGGATCTCGCTCTTTTGTACAGTGAATAGAACTATATATTTCCGTTTGCCATGGTACGATTGGCAAAAACTGATGTACTTCGCGTTCGTCTCCTAGTTGAATAACATCCCCTGCATGAACATGCGCAAAAAATAAATCAGCACACCATTTAACACCGTTTGCATAGAACGTCTTTGTGGGCGGATGATCACAATCAGGACTAAATTCATGCGCATAGCCATTCCCATATGTATATTTACAAACTCTCTGTGCAATCACGGAAGTGTTGTGGCCGTATATTACAGCGCCCTTAAGTACAGCCAACCCAGCATCCGATGGAACAACGATTTTCATGTTTGGAAATGTCTCTTTGATACGTTGTTGAAGCAAAGGCGACTCCGAATATCCACCTACCATAAGTAATATATCACAATCAGTTAGCTCCGGTTTTTGAAATAGGAAAGTAAGATGATCCGTTATATTGTCCAGAGACCTTTGGTAAAAACCTTTAATGACATCTGAATGAAGTTTCAGTTTGTCACGTTTTATGCTTACGTTTTCCTCATCGTAGCCTGCCTCGGATATTTTATTTTTAAAATATTCATCTCTTTTTTTTTCTGGAACATTTGTCAAAAACGTAGGTATGTGCATAGTTACTTGTGTATCTTTTTTCGTTAATCTCTTCTTGACTTCAAAATTTCTCATCACATCGAGATATGATTCTACTTCTTCTTCTTTTAACGTTCTCATTACATCACTACCTGTTTAATGTGCAAACAGAATTAACAAGACGCATATAAATATTATAAGTGTTAAAAAGATATTTCATGTGCCAAAAGTGCTTGATGTTAGAACAAGTCTGTTCATAAAAAAAACTCACCATCATTTTTTGCCTCACACATTGTGTTTTATTTGCTATGACTGTAACACAGTGTAAGTATTGCCTTATAAAAGTCCTAAATTGTAAAATTAACAAACATGTAGGTATTTTTTTCCCTTTATGTTTTTATTGATGTACATAAACCAGCATAATTCATTTTAAATTTCCAAGTTCTATACTCTAGACGATGAGGATTATCTATTGACTAATATTTGATGCTCATAATTAATATAGAAATACTCAACATAATGAACAACACAGGACAAGCGTTAGTAAGGAAACGACTGAATAAATATACATGTAAAAGACAGAAAAATACATGTACATGTATACAATATATGGGAAATCATTTTATTTTTTTCTCTAAGCTATTTAAAGAAATTAAATACATGACAAATAGTATATCATTACCCAAAATTTCAGAGATAAACTCCTCGAAAGCTCTGTCAACCATTGTGCCACCCCAATCTCCTCCGCTAGCCTTGTATATTTCTTTGAGTTCACGAGTTTGCGTCGTTTCATGCACTGTTATGTCAACCGTTCCTCCTTTCAAATGATTTTAATGATGAATGTTGGATTCATTATATTATTATTATTATATTGAAAAGCTATTCATTCATGATAAATTGTTCTACGTTTTAAATACACGTACATGTATAATCGGAAATAAACTATGTTAATATAAATATATCTTGTTGCTCGGATATTCATTGTAAAAAATCCAAGATATGTACCGGTAATTTCAAGAAAATTGCTTGAAAATAAATTTTTTTTAACAGTTTTTTTTACTAAAACCTTAATCCTAAAGGAAAGCTTTATACAAATACCTCCTGCATCTAGTATCATATATTTACTCCCGCTTGGTAATTGTCCGACGGAGTCCTGATTTCTTGTTGTTGGAAGTAAACGACAATAAACAGATGCAGCTTCCGGTTCAAGAGCTATGATGAGACGCTCATGCCTTATTCCGGCCTTGAAAAATAATTAATCAAATTAAAGTAAAAAGGAGGCACGTTTAAATAACTGAATATCCTGCATTTAACATGAATCATGACTGAAATACATTTCTTGTATTTGTATAAGAAAAAGAAAATAGAGTGAAAACTGGTTAGTTGGCTGGTCATTCGGGATCATTAATTCAAAAACGTTCAATGTTGAAGGTTGAATACTGTTTAAGATGGTGCTAAGGGGCATAAACTATTTCATAGCAGAATTTTCAAGTCCATGAAAAATTTCGGCTTCAAGCCGTTTTCAGATGTATGAAGGTCCGAAATTCCATTATATATACAGCTTTTAAAAGAAAAAATATCACTGACTATTTATGTATCCCGATGAATATAAAATATTTAATAATTTATCTTACATTTTCGGCAGCTTCACGCATAAACTGCTTAGCTGTATCATTCCATATAGCAGGAACTGTTAAAACCCACATTATGACATTTTCTGTCAAGTCTCCTACAAAAATGTGTTTCTCTGACATCATGTCTATTAGATCATCTTTAAAGTACCTTATAGACAATGAAAACACAGTCTTTGCCATCAGACATTTACCACTTGCATCTTTAACTGTAAAATCATTTTGGATCCCCTGTAAAATAGCAAACAATTTTGAGGAGTGTTTTTTGTTTTCAATATAATTATCAATTAGGTTATTGCCAACGACAGTTCACAAAAATCTTCATGCAGGATAGGATTTAATTTCAACAATTGCAAATCACAGAAATTCAATATGTTTGTAACACAGCGTCTGATGTCTAGCAATTGTGTTTTTTTAAATTTCTTTGTCTTATCCTTATCAGATTTTCACACCTTTATGTATCATATTCGAGTTCACCAAAACGATTTCCGTGTGAAAACAGACCAGTTTATCCATTTTATTCCGCAAATGACCGACTGCTCATTCATGATATCTTAATCAGCGTTGATTAATGTCCGGGATCAATTATAAAAGATATTTCGCTATCCTAAGGATAAATGTCTAATGCAAAAAACATACTCTGCTACAAAAAAAGAACTAAAAATGTGAACAAAAAAGGGAACATCAGGTACTAAATTTTGTACACATGCGTATGAACATACACTTTTTTTATTTATACGAACGTGAAGAGTGTTTATTTCTTATTAAAGTTTTAACGCCAATTTTAACAAAAATCTTTTGGCGGTCAAACCATCTACCCGGCTTGCCTTGATAACATCAGTTTTAACCAATTTCTCCGCAAGTGATCAACTAATAGTCCAACATGATTGTCGCGTAGAAATATCGTCAGCGAGTCGTGTATATTTAGTGTTTCGCTATTGAGCAAAGTATCATAAAGAGTTAGATAATGGTAAGGGTTAAATAAGATAACACAACATATATATATTAATATATAATTTTATATGATAATTATCAAAAATTAAAAACTATTATTTAGACTTAGATTTTGCCTTAAATATACAAGAATTGCAGAAACATTCTCACGACAGTGTGACACTTTATTATAGTGTAAGAAACTATTTCTCTATTTCATGAAGTCAATCCCATAAACTTATGATGAGATCTATGAAGAGCTTAGTCTGTTTCTGTTTAAGAATAGCTAATTTTCATTTGTACATTTTAGAAAAGCAAGCGTTTTGACATTGCATTTTTGTTGTAAATTTGGAAAGATATGCCTCCAAAAAATTTACTTTTTATATATCTCATACTAGTTATACTCACAATTTTGTCATAAAGCTGCATCTTAAATCTCTTGAAGAAATACCAGTCATTGTGTTGACCTTTTTCTACAAGTTCGGCATACTTATCTTCAGCATCAAAACCAAAACTGTCAATTGTCTGTCCATCAGGATTTATCAAAATTGATGTTGGTCCTTAAATATATTTAACATTTTCACTTATATATCAACTATTTTGTGACGATTTTACAACAAAACTTTGATTGTAGTTGAAAAATGTAGACAATCCTGTCATAAAATGTTTTTTAAGAATAAAAAATCTTACAGAAGCTCAAACATGTAGTTAAGACGTTTTGTTATTCAAAGCAAACATGTTAAAGTGCAAACAAAAACAAATTGTAGTTTATTCGTTTATTATTGAAATATTTGAACCGTAAATACAGCCCTATCAGTTTCAGTTTTAATATAACGTCTTTTTTATGTTATTTTCTTTGCTGAACATGCTTTTGCTTTCAAGTTTCCATTATTGTGTCATTATTCCCTTTATGTTCATTTCGGCCAATTTTTTTGTTGTTGTTGCTTTTTCTCCTCTTCAGTTTGTTTCTTATTTGTTGGATTTTACAGGCACGAACGGTCTTCTGATCGTTGCGTAAGCTAGCTAGAATAGCTTCCTCATATACAAGACTCATAACTTTCCATTGTAGTTCTTTTTTAGTTCTGTTTTAAGTTTTCCCGTTATGCTTGCAAAAGTTTGCTATGCGGCATTTTTTGTTATAAAAATATGTATATTTTTTTTGTAAAAAAAATCTAAAACCGGCAAAATACAAAAGCTAACTTGAATACATATGTACAATTAGGATCGGGAACCATTTTCATGTTCAGTATTCAAATTTGGACGATACAACGAAAACTTTAGAAATACCATTACCGGTGACCCAATATTATCATAACCATGTCATGTGATGAACTACCCTGGTCATGACGAGAGAGACAATAGACATGATAGACTTCCGTTTTCTTTATCATTATTGCAGTTTGTACTCTTATACTATGCAAATGCACATGTCTTATCATGAACTTATTAGGAAATCAGTTCTTATATATTCTAATATGTAATTTTCAGATTACCTTGGTCGGTGTATTGTGTTATAACAAAAATGCTTAGACAAAAATCAACAATAAATCTATATATATTCAGTTGTTTTTTACTGTTGAAGTAGCCACAAAAATGGTTAAGCTTTGCAATCGCTACTTTTTGCAGCAAAATATTTTACTTTCAGATATAAAAAATGCATCAATTTACCTTTTAGTGATACAGCCGACTTCAATCCTGTCCATTGTTTTGCCGTGATATTTGTTGGATCAGATTCATATTCATGTCTGAACGAGAATCCGCATGTTGAAAAAGTTGTTCCGAAGTCGATTGCTGCCACAACTAGAGGCTTTGACATTATTATAAAACAAGTATTGTCTGTAAAATTGTCTGAACTTGCCCGTTCTAACTTTACTGCTTTCGGTGAAGACGGTATATTGCAAAATGATAGATGTGTAAATCATCATGTAAATCACTGATAAGATAACAATTAAGTTATTAAGGGCAATATTTATGTGATACTAATTTGATGTGATATGAACAACAAGATGACCAAAATGGGTGGCATTCAATAAAAGAATCCCGCACACGACGACAGCATCACTGGACAACCCATAAGAGGTCTAGCATGACGGCAAACAAAACCAGGACAGGACACAAGTCAAATCACGGATGGGAAAGGTGTGTTAACTATAATAAATCATAATGGAAAATAATTGAAACCGACATGAGTTTGATGTTTAATACACATTTTTAACATTAAAAAGAAAATAAAGGTTAGTGGTGTAAGAGGGTATGATCGCTTTTAAGGGGACAAAGGGCTTTTTATCACATGAAGAGAATGATTTTTTTCAGATAAGTGTTCCAATTGATGTGTCTCTGGACAAATTACTTGTTGGCATAATTTCTTATCATTTGTTGCAGAAAAACACAAATATGAGCTTAGAATCGCACAAAAAGAATCAGGTTTTAATAAAATCATGCATAAATGCCTTTGTAACCTTTAACAAAATGTCTGTTTATATAGTAATGATTGATCATAGTAAGATTTTTTTTTATGTTTTCAGGCCTCATTTGAACACTTTCTGTTTCAATCCCCTGAAATGTATGTGAGTTTTTGAAGGAAAATGGAAAATGAAAAAGTTAAATCAAAATCACTTTAGATATATATTTTATTTCTTTGATTAATTTGTGAGTGTATCTTACTTAAACTAAAGAATTCAAAAATATAAAAAATGTACAATTAATACAAACGTTTTATGTAACTGGACGGTCTGGTTTTAACATTCTAATGGAAACATTAACATTCGGAAAATTTAAATTTTGAGGTGAAACCTGTCTGTATAAGTAGCACACAATAGCGACATTGTTAATGCCTTTTGCCTGTGGGCTGATTGGCCTTTGAAGTTTGAGCCCTCGATGGTGGTGAACTACTTACTTACCTTACCGCATAGCACAAGTTTATTGCTGACATTTTGGTTATCTCTTTATCTTAACAATGCTTTATCTCATTATCAGTCTCATGTTGCCTATATGTCTGATATGTTGTGTGGATTAAAGTAAAATATGCAATATCAATAGTGATTTACATTGTGTGGTCATTTTTGATACTATATAATATACAGGTAAAGCAATTTTATGCTTTACTGTTTATATATAATTCACTATACACTGAAATAACGTAGCTATTTTATATTCTGTGAAGTACTTTAAAAATCTTCACTTTAAGTGGCGAAATTTCCCCCGCATCCCCGCATGCCCTTTTGTTTGGGGATATGGAAAAGTCTTTCTTTGTCATGTAAACATAATAGAGAATGAAAACATAATGGATGTAGATAAATGTGAGGGTACGAGTTTCAATGGTACACGAGCTGTGATCATACAGAACGTTAAAATTATGCTAAAGATGTAATTGTTATTGGGTTGTTCCTTTCTCACCAACCGTTCAAGCTGATTGTTTGTTATTTTTACAGTCCTTCAGTTGTGCAAAGGACAAAAGTACTGTAAAATATCTCACAACGAGCAATAGCAAACGAAATTAATTATTTATGAAATGGCATTTGTCATCCAACATGTTTGGTTTATGCTGGTACCTCATTTATTCTTTGAGTGAGGCGCCGGACAATATTATTAAGTATGAAGTGTCTCAAAAGTAAAACTTCTATCTAAAAGAAACTTTGCGAATTAAGCTACCTAATTGTTAGGCGCTGTGCCGTTATTGGACTGGTATATCGATATGGCGGTATGTGTGTATTTATTCTCTCATTTCTATATATATAAAATGTTTCACTGGGACAATTGTTAAGTAATTTGCCGTTAAAATTGACCAAAGTTTTGAATAACTTAGTTTATGCTATAATATTTGAAAGATAGAAACAATCATCTTCATTTACATGATTTAGAAAAGAACCATACAAATATTACAATCAAATAATTGGTCATATACCGGATGATAGCTCGTGTGACTCGTGTTATTGTTTTTTTACTCATGTTAAAGGACTGTCTGGTGCGTGCAGGTGCAGAAAAACAGTACATATTTCCTGCAGCGGTTACTTCCCTAGAAGATGAGAGATGAAGCACAAAAGAATAAGAGGAACGTCATAAAGTTCTTGTACGGAGAGGATTATATGGATAATACTATATGTTACAAAGAAAAGTAAGAATATTGTAATAATTTCACTATTGAAATGCTGGTTACTTTCTTAAACTTAGCATATTTACGGAAAGGAATTTTTTCAATTTTTAATGCACTTGACAGCCCTGTATGTTCAATATTCTTCCGTCAACCATAAACATCAGTCAAATACTGTATCTCATAGGATTTTTATTATCAATTACCTTTCTTATATGACATGTTATACATATTTCTTATTTAAATTCTTATTCTAATAATATTTCAATTTTTTTTACTCCTAGTTAAACAGAAAGAAAAGTTTCGTAAATATAACTGCATACCAGCGACTGCATTTCTCTTTCCGCGTTCATATAAATGTTTCTCTTCTTTTAAGTAGCTTCACTATTACATAGTTATCTCCAAAACGAAAATTTCAATTTACTCACAGTCTCTTCCCTATGGTCCTTCGTTTTGACTTATACTTCCCGTTAAACAGTAAATATGATACCAGCGTCTGCATTTCTCTTACTTTATTTAGAAACTACACTATTCCATAGTTACCCCCTAAACGAAAATTTCATTTTACTCACTGTCCCTTCCCTAGGGTCTTTCGCTTTGACTTCTATTTCTGTTCCACCGAACAGAAAACTCAAATAAACACTTCGAGAACATCCACCGGTTGTATCAAGCATTGGTATGGTAACACTTCCCAATTTTATACAACCTGGATCCGTTACTAGCTCAGGATATCGCTCTTTAGTACAGTATATAGGAAATGTCATTTCTGTTTGCGATGGTTCGACTGGCCAGAACTGATGTGCTTTACATTCGCCTCCTACTTTGATAACATCTCCTGCATGAACATGCGCAAAGAATATATCATTACATCTTTCAACACCATTTACACAGGTTTTCTTGCTGGGCGGATGTCTGCAATTCGGGCCACTTATATGTGATTTGCCAATCCCATATGTATATTTACAAACTCTCTGTGCAATTACGGCCGGATTGTGACCATATATTACGGCACCTTTTAGCACAGCCAGCCCAGCATCTGATGGTACAACGAGTTTCATGTTTGGAAAGGTATCTTTAATACGTCGCTGAAGCAAAGGTGACTCCGAATATCCACCTACCATTAATAATGTATCACAATCAATTAGCTCCGGTTTTTGAAATAGGGAAGCTAGATGATGCGTAATACTGTCCAGAGACCTTTGATAAAATTCCTTAATAACATCTGCATGAAGTTTCAGTTTGTCACGTGTTACGCTTACTTTATTCTCATCATAACCTGTCTGGGAAATTTTATTTTCAAAATATTTATCTCTTTCTTTCTCTGGAACATTTATCAAGAATGAAGGTATGTACATAATTACTTGTGTGTCTTTTTTTGTTATTCTCTTCTTGACTTCAAAGTTTCTCAACAAATCATGATATGTGTTTACTTCATCTTCTTTCAGCATTTCCATTACATCGCCACCTGTTTAAAATGCAAACATTATTATCACATGCAAGATACATATACCTGTTGATGTTTAATCACATGACGTTTCTTGTTGTCCATGTAATAATCATTCAATACGTACTTTTATAACACATGGCTCATTAATTTAGTTCATTTAATCACGTGATATAAAGTCATAAGTATAAGATTTTATTTAACTTGTCCAAGAAAAAATGTCAACTCTTAATTAAATATGTAATATCATCCTTATAAATAATGCATTTTCTATGCTATTACTGTAAAAAGCATAAAAAATGTCTGGAGCTAACAAACCGCACAAGCTATTTGTACTCAAAATCTTAAACATAAGCCAAACCCCGACAGTTTTTACCCCTTGATTAATCAATTTCTTTCTAAGAGTGCCTAATTAAAAATATTGCGTTAATTGTTTTAATTTACTGAACTGATTTCTCTTGAGGCTTAGGGTTGCCTTTAAGGGTTGATGCCACCGTGTATCCCTGCATAATCGTAAGAGGCGACTAAATCGGATTAAATAATGGAGTCTATGCATCTCTTAGTTCCCGCAGGTGTCGTAGTTTTGGCCCCAGGTTTTGCTTTAACTTTGTAACACCCGATGTTTGTCAAAAACATCTTTCAAGTTTCGACACCATATGACCTAAATTGTCTTGGCGCATCGTAAAATCAAACAAAACAATACTGAATTGATTGGCTTTGTTCAGAATTTGCCAAGAATCTTGATAAATATACAAAAACTTTTACCTAGTAGTTTTGATATTACTAGAATATGAAAATATTAGGTACCATTTTTGTAATAAAATCTGGCATTATTCAGTCAATAAATATTTATATTCAGTCAATAAATATTTATGATCAGTGTACAGTTAAATTAAATCAAATACTCTTGCCTCTCTAGAAACATTAATAAATGAAGAATAGTTATCGTAGTAAAACAATACCCAAAATTTCAGAGATAAATTCCTCGAAAGCTCTGTCAACCATTGTACCACCATAGTCTCCTCCGCTAGCCTTGTATATTTCTTTGAGCCCATTGTTTTGTGTTGTTTCGTGTACTGTTATGTCAATTGTTCCTCCTTTTAAAATGCCGTTTTATATAATTAATTTATGAAATTAGTTCTTTTTAATTATAGGCGATAAATGTTTGATAAATTTTGTATGTAAATTGTTCCATATTTCAAAGCATCTTTAAATAAACATGTCACAATAAAAAGACTTGTGTCTTCTTGCTAGGAAATTTGTGATGTCATTATTTACTGTGGTGATATGAATCAGATGTTTATACTGTGATGCTATGAAGTAACATATTTTGACCTGACTTTATTTGGATAGTTTACATTACATTTTAAAATGTATGTACCTCCAGCATCTAGTATCATATATTTGCCCCCACTTGGTAATTTCCCGAGGGAGTCCTGGTTTCTTTTTGTTGGAACTAAACGGCAATAAATGGATGCAGCTTCCGGTTCAAGAGCTATGATGAGGCGCTCGTTCTCTATTCCTGCCTTGAAGAATAATTAATAGAACAGAAATGAGACACGATAATTAACTAAATATTGTGCATGATACAAGAAGTATTTGTATCATAGCTCAGATACCATTCTAAGAGTGTGGATATTGTATACCTTCACCTAATTAAGATTTAAAGTTGAAATGTATTTCAATCAGTTTGAGAATGTTGAACTAATTTTCACAAAAGAATCACGTTTTTTTGTACAAAGTAGATTTTCACCGCTTACATTCAATTTATTTTTACTTTAAGGAACCATTTCTTTATAATAAATGAAGGATATTAGACTCTGGCTCTGCCACCTTCTGAAATTCAAATTTCCTCCTCCGATGCTCTTTTAAATTATCGCCCTTACTTGCTTTAAATATCTTATTGCCTCTGTAGTTTATGATGGTCCCATATGCTTTTTTGTCTACAGGTAAGATATTTTTCCTGCTGCATAAAAACTGTTTGGCTTCAAAATCAGGAACATTATCGAAAGTTTGTGATTGAATTATCATATTTTGTGGATCTTTTCCCGAAAGTATCTTCAATTTCACGTTCGCTTTAAACTGTCCTTCAAGAAGTCGCTGACAATGAAAGACAACAGTCCGAAATAAGCTTATTAATAAACAACGGGTACCCGAGTAGAACCACCATCCGTAAGCTAGCTTGATTACTTCTTCACATGAAAGTATTCAAATATCCTGATGGAATTCGAATCTATTGTGATGAAGGGCAAGTGGTTCGAAGTCAACGACCTTAAACACTTATTCAAACTGAGTCTGCAATTTTATTTTTGTTACTTCCTTTTTCAAAGCTCTCGTGGTGCGATCTTCACTTTTCAAGATTTTCTTATTTTCTCATTTCAGTAACTTCCATTAGAGAGACGTCAAGATTTTCTTCCCATGCTATGATAAAATATATTCATTTAAAATATAGCACTAAACGTAATTGAAAATGATATAGTACTGATGCATGAACTAGTATCAGTATTTTCCAAATACTTAGGACGCAATTATTTGTCAAGACCGCACCTCTTAAGGTCTCATAATAATAACAACAACAACAACAACAATAATAATGATAATAATAATAATAATGATAATAATAATAATAATAATAATGATAATAATAATAATAATAATGATGATGATGATGATGATGATGATGATGATAAACACAATTCATCTTACATTTTCGGCAGCTTCACGCATGAACTGTTTGGCTGTATCGCCCCATATTGCAGGAACTGTTAAAACCCACTGGATATCCTTTTCTGTCAAATTACCGTCGAGAACTTGCGTCTTTGACATGTCTATCAGATCATCTTTTAAGTATTCTATGGATAACCTAAATACTGTCATCGCCATTAGATGTTTACCCGTTGCATCTTGAATTGTGAAATCTTCCTGGATACCCTGTACAAGAAAACAGGACTTACGAAAAAAATACTATAAAAAGGAGTAGTGTGGTTCATGGAATTCTCAATAGTGGAATTCTTAACGAAAAAATATTTGAAAAAAAAAGAATGTCATGGCACTTTGCAAATTCAAATCTTTTTCAAGGAAAGACATTTATTTCAAACTATACGTATCTCAAATTGTATATGTATAGATCAATTTTTGCAGCATAGTGTCTCATCATTGTATAATGAATCAAACAACAGCCCCTGATTAAATTTAAGAAATATTGAAAAGATTAAATGTGAATAAATACTATTAGTATCAGGTTCAAATATTTCGCATACATGTGAACGAATATAAATGTTATAAACAGGTAGTTCAGATAATGTGTAACAAGCTAGAGATTGTTAAATAATCTTCAATATACTGATTACGATGATAATTCAAAATTTGTTTAAGATATACAAGGGTTGCAGATATGCAGGACAGTCTGATATTTTATTCAATGTTATGCGCACTTTGAGCATTTTATTTCTGTGACAAGTTAACCCTAAATACTTAAGACATTTATAGTACTTCGTAAAAAGATAGATGGACAGATCTTATATGCTTGTATATGAGCTGATATAGCTTCACACCCTCATGTCTTTAATGCTTTAAGAAAAAAGTGAGGTCGTGAAAGTTGCTATATGTTGAAATTGACAAATATAAAGATACCTCACAAAAAGAAAGACAGGATAATTATATATTTGATAAATAATGTGAGGGTAATATATATTACTATATTACAGTGCTTACCTTCTCGTCATAGAGGGTCATCTTAAATCTCTTGAAGAAGTACCAGTCATTGTGTTGACCTTTTTCTACAAGTTCAGCATACTTATCTTCAGCATCAAAACCAAAACTGTCAATTGTCTGTCCATCAGGATTGATCAAAATTGATGTTGGTCCTTAAATATATTTCACATTTTCACTTATATGCCGCTTAATGTTCTGTGTGCCCTTCAATAATATAAGATTAAATGAAACATATAAATTCAACACAAAAAAGTTGTAAGAGGAATGTGATATTAATATGATTATTTGTATGTATAGGGAGGCAATATTATATATTCTTTAAGCAATTTTAGAAAAAGAAATAAGCAATTAACTTGTCTTACAATATTATTGTTTCATAGCTCAGTGTGGAAACTACAGGGTTCAATTACAGGTCAGAAGCTATGTACTAAAATATGTTTTGATGAAGTAAGTAATAAATTTATTATATATGACTTTATCACATTAAAAAAGTTACAACAAATGAGATGACGTAGACATTTTGTCATGCAACGCCGCTGAATATCGCACTTGTCGATTGATGGCGTAACATTACAGTTGGATGTCGCCGTAACATTACAGTTGGATGTCGCTACGCCATACCACAAACTATTCTGCCCTTAAATGTAGATAACAATTAAACTAAAGCTATAACTCATCTATTTACCTTTCAAAGATACCGTCGACTGCAATCCTGTCCATTGTTTTGCCGTGATTTTTGTCGGCTCAGATTCATAGTCGTGTTTGAACGAAAATCCCCATGTTGAAAAGGTAGTTCCTAGGTCGATTGCTGCAACAACAAGACAATCTGACATTATCTCATAAATTCCGAGGAATATCTACGACACAATTGTTAAAACAATTGTTTTTGAACTTACTAAATGCTCAATTTTATCATAAATTGTTTCGACATTTTACTAAACGCGGTATATGATAATATGGCGAATATGTTATCCATAAAAGATAAGATAATCAAAGGGTATTATATATGAGATTGATACAAGCTAAAAGTCTTGTTATAGTATGAAATAGATCTGCGTGATCGTATACATCTCTTGGCTCCAGAAGATGAGGTAGTTTTGACCCCGGGTGTTGCTTAAAGTTTGTTACATCCGATGTGAACCAAACTCATATTTCCTGTTTCGCCGCTATATGACCCAAATTGTGCCGGTGCGCCGTAAAAGCAAACAAACTAAAATATACAAGCTAAATGTGTAATCAAAGTCGGAAGTAAGTTCACAAATGTGACAATGAAGAGAAAACTCAGTGATAGTATAGATAATTATGGTGACATCGTATTTTCGCTGCTTCGACTAAAAAAGCGAGGATGCGGAAAGCAAAAAAGTAACAATGCGAAAAAGTAACAATGCGAAAAAGCGAAAATACAAAAAAAGGAAAATGTAACATTGTGTTTTCGCATTTTTGGATTTTGAACACGAAATAAACGTAAATACGACAGATGGAATGCGAATATATGACAGATTTAATGTGTTGTATATTCACCCTCCTTCTGTCGTATTTTCACTTTTTTTGCCTCGAAAATCTGAAAAAAAGGAAACACGAAGAGACAACAAAGTTCGAATTTCGGGTCATATGTCTATGTTCTTGGGAATAGCCGCAATGAAAACCAAGCCTGCATTATTTTTTTTTTCATTCGGGTAATCTTTTTTTACATTTTTCATGAATATGTAAGCCATAAATCTACAAATTAAACAAGGATTAAGATCAATTAAGGCATGTTTTAAAAAGATATGTAGATCTGCAGATAGGTGTGTTTGTGTTTGATTTTGTAGAAAACGATAACGAATTTATCAGAAAATTTACTTTAGATAAAGAGTTGAATTGTGAGTGAATTAAAAAAAGACTAACATCACATAGGGAGAAGAAGAAATATTTTGTGAACTGGAAACGTGCTCATGTAATGTAAATTTTTGTGTTCCGTGTTCTTACATTTTAACCTTTCAATCGAGGTATTGACATGGTTGAAATTGAAAAAAGCATACTTAATTGGTAGCACCCATTTACCGTTGCTTTTGTATTATTTTATTTATTTATTCATTCATATTCATTTATTATTATATATTGTTTGGCTTTTAGGTTTTGAACTTTGAGCCCTCGTCGGTGATGTACTATATATATGTAACCCTATACCACGTATTTAGTACTTATGTTTGCGTGTATCTCTTTTCTGAATCGCCTTATATATCAGTACCAGTCTCGAATATTTCTCTATCTACATCGAAGACGATGTTATCTACGTTATCTAATTGACATTATCTATCATACGATATTATACATAGATCTGTACACTTAAAATTGGGTTATCAGTTTCACGTCGGTACTCTGCCCACAAATGCATACAGTATTTTTCAAGTAATCAAGAGTCGTTCTTATAAAATATCTTATATATAATTTTAGTTTACCCTTTATTAACAAATATTAACAAATGTTAAGATGTGATTTCATTCTGTTATATGTTTAAAATTCTATGGAATTTATATATAAACAAGAATATGTAATCAGTTATGTTGACAGATACAATTTTGATAGATTAAGAACAATGTAAGCATATATTTTATAATCGAATTTGCATGCTGGAGAATATTCCATTTACAGAAGAATTATTTGAAAAATCTAACAACCCAATAAGATATTTTTTTTGTGAAAAAAAGACACTAATATGTTATATTGGGCTTCAAATTGACATGATACTGTTAAAAAATGCCTTAAAATGAGAAAACAATGAATGACATGATGCTATATTCGCCGAAGTAAATTCGTTCTTGGTGACTCAATCTATCTGGCACATTTCATTTTTGTTGGTAAGTCTTAAGGTCTTTGAGTTATGCCACCGCGCATTTTGTTTCGTTGGGTTTCACGTCGCACCAACACTGTGCAGGTCATATAGCGACAATATGACGTTATTGATAAAGGAAGACCGACGAACATACACATGAGTAGAACCACCGACGTTCCGTAAGCTAGCTGGAGGGCTTCCTCGCATGAAATATTCCAATTCATCTAGACGGATTGGAATCCACAGCGAAGTCAACGACCTTAAACACTTGGCCACGCCGCCCGCTCCCGTCCCCCAACAGAGCATTAAATATGTATAAATATGGTAATAACTCCTTAAACATTAGGGAAGAGGATGTTTGGGTACATGGGCGCCGCCGCATTTCACTCAGATGTGATTTATTCACATGCTGTTATATGATATATGAACACCATTGGTGATAGTTTAACGTTTTACAACTTCTTTGTACATCAAGATATACTCTTTATATCTTAGGGGAGATAAATCTAGACAAATAAAGAAAATGAAAAAACACACTAGTTTTCCTTTAATGTAATGTATCTTGTTGATGCATTCAAATATACCAAATCATTACTCATAAAATACTTTTGATGTTCAAACATTTAAAAATCCTTCGTTTAAAGGCTGTTGAGCACATTTCTGTACAATGAAATAATTATGCAGATAATCGTAAAGCCTATGACAAAACGGCCATCTTTTTTATAATTCAATAAAACTTAAACAATTTGATTTTCAAAGAAATTGTTGCAATACAGTTATCCTACTATGCACTTAGTATGAATTATTTTTATTGATATTTTATTTTGAGAAGCAAACTGTCTGTTTAAAGAGGACGGCAGCTTTAGGACTAATCATCACTTTAATCATATGATAATAATTCGCTTTTTAAAAGCATATACTAGATCATTCAAAACTTTAAAAACATATTTCAATAAAACTACTTTATTTACCGCTTCTTTATATTTTATTTCATCATAAGCTCGCGAATACGATATTATGGTGACTTTGGGGGTCTTTCGTTGTTGCTTTTGATAAAAAAAATATTATGTTAATGCTCAAAATAGTCATTTAAATACAAGAATATTAGATTATGATATACTGTCATTACACGAGAACAAATAATATAACCAAAAGCTTTTTCTAGTGAAATGTATTTACAGTGTTGCGGACAAAAATGGAAAGGTTCGTACTGAAACTATAGTGAAAACCTTTTTAGGTATATGGAACGACCAATGAGTACAAACTAGATTTAAAAAAAAAGCAACTTTCATTGTCAGTCATCTAGCCATAGACGAATCAAATCACCAATTCAGATGTATCTGTTTGGTTTTGTTTGGTCCAACATAGTTTAGGCCAAATGGCGCAGAAGCGGGCAAGGAGCGCGTGTAATGTGTGACTAATTCTTTTTAGTTTGATATATGAACTTATATTACTTGGAAGAAAATATTATTAACAATTGCAGAAAAAAAAGAATTTACTTTATGAAACCGTTATCATTATTTATATTATTTTTATTTCAAAAGAAGAAAAAAATAAACAAAATCAAGTAAAAGAGCTTGCTTTCCTTATTTAAAAATCTGGAAATATTCATTATATTTCTCAATATAATTTAGACACCTCATATCAACAAAATTAATAAACATGTATACATTGATACATATTTCTGTTTTTAGTTTATATTTTTTCTATATTTTCAAAGTGACATGCTTTGATAGTTCAAGGCGACGTCACATTTTCATAATACAAAGGGGAGAATCACGCCGTTCGTTACCCAAACAAACAAGATGGCGGATGCAGCCAAAAGTAGGGTTTTCCCTTTTTTTCTCTGAAATTCGTGATGTTCTTATGTAAAGTTACATATCCACAATTTTCCTGGCACACGGGATTTTATTTCATGATGTTACGTCCTGTACTTCATCTGTAATGCGCGTCACCAGATTCGAAGCGAGAGAATTTTTCAACGGTTTGATCGTGGTAACGTACTGCCTTTTCTCTAAAATTCACTGTTTCTTTTACATATACGGGTATGTATATTAACTGAAACCACTGACTTTAAAAAGAAAGTTGTAATATATTGTCAAGTAAGCAATCATGCCCATTCTGGCTAGATTTACTGCTGTAAATATTAATATCAGGGCATTTTTCCGGAAATGATAACGTATGGCACACAAAATATCAATGATAACGTACGGCGCATTTTACTACTTCGTGGATTTCCATTTGTCCAATCAGCTGATAATGAATTATTTTTTATGTAGGAAATGATAGATATCTGAAAAAAATGTTGGTCAGGTCAGAAATAATTTATTATACAATGCTGTACCATCGGATATAAATATCTGTCTAGCTGGTGGCATAATAGATATCCGTTATTAATATACCATTCAAAACACACGTCTACAGTTTGAGAATATTTTGTATAAAATGCAGAATGGAAAGAAAAGCCCCCAACTTTCAGGAAACATTTGTGTAGTGTTGTCTTCAAATTAAATTTCGCCAGTTTTGTGCGATAATTATGATTTTATCCCCTTATCAGAAAGAAGAAACGCATTCAGCAGAGCAAAAATGCTAAAAAGGTACGAACGGCTTGATATATTTTCTTTTCCAATGAAAAAGTCTAAAAACATTCCTAACAAATTTCTGAGAAAGGAATCTAAATATTTGAACCCGTCAAACATTTACAAAAAGAAAAATGATTGCGACTAGCTTACACCCATATGAGTTGAGCCTGTGTTTATTCAATATGGTCGCTCATTGAAAGAAAAATACATAACAGAGAATAATGAATGAGTGTAGGTTCTATATTGAATTTATTGAATGAGTTAGAAAATAATGTAATGGGAAAAATTCAATGAATTTAGTAAATAAGAAATGTTCTGTTTATTTGACTGGCGGTTAATATTGAAACGCTACCATTTAGCGTGACGTTGTGCCACAATGACGTCAGATATATTTACGCGACATAGCCTTAAAGTTTTTTTTATTATAGTAGACAGTAAACAGTAGACATTTTATTTATTCCAATAGGCAATAGGCTTTAAACCGATGAGGACATAAAACATGCACAATAATGAGCAATGTGTGACATAAACATATAAACATAATATCAAAATTCATGAAAATGTTTGGAGAAGATCAATTTTGATTGATAAAGTAAATACCAGCCAAAAGTTTCTTAAGTAGTTACATAATGAACATTTTCATATCAAAATTGATCTTTAAACCACTAACTTATAGGCCTCTTGTATATACATATACATACACATATACATGTTCATACATACAAAAAACATACATGTATGAATCATTAATGCAAAATCGATTTTAAATAAATAAACGCGATTACCAAATGTTTATGCACATATCCTATAAAATGAAGGTCCCTTCGCATCAATTGCGGATTTCATAATTGTAAATGAATCATAAATGAAATCATATTCTGGCGTTTTTTCCCCACAAACGCCCCAACAAAAACAATAATTTCTTTTTAAAAAAGTATTTCAGGTATCAGCAAAAAAGAGTGACATTGAAATTTGCTTATTAATTTCTAGTGTTAAATATAAGGTTTCAAATCGGATTTGGATTTCGATGTTTTTATCCATGCCGGAAAACCAGTCTTTAACCTTTAATGCCAGACCGCTCATGCGCTTAGATGACGCCATTATCTTTATGAAAGAACGGTTTTAGAAATTATAACGCTACTCTTAAACTAGTGTTTACAAAGTACATGTTAGTGTTCATCCGTGTTGTTCTACAGAAATTAGAAACTTCGACGGGAGAAATAGCGACCGGAGAATATTTCTTATTTCTGTAGAACAGCTACGGATGAATGCAAACATACTTAGTGTCAAGCTTTATTTGGCTTCATTAATATTAACTTTGTTTCGTAACTATATTTGTCCATTTGCACAAACGCGGTTTTTGAAGCACTATGAAAAATAGAAGGCTGCTATGAACGAACTTTGATATATCATCGACTTTTGTTCGTCTATGAAAATTTACACAAAGAATTTTCAAGAAATACAGCGCTTTCATTGGATGACAAATAAAGCTGGACACTTATATTATTTATTTCAGTTTCTTAATTTGGTTCTACACATCCTCTTATGTCGTGTAAACATAACTTTTCTATTATGTAGAAAATCAATTAATCAGAAAAAAATGCGCCGTACGTTATCATTGATATTTTGTGCGCCATACATTATCATTTCCAGAAAATGCCCCGATATTAATATTTTCAGCGGTTATTCTAGCCAGAATGGGCATGAATGCTTAGATGAAGACATATTACAACTTTTTTAAGTCAGTGGTTTTAGTTAAGATACATATATGTAAAAGAAACAGTGAATTTTAGAGAAAAAGCAGTACGTTACCACGATCAAACCGTTGAAAAATTCTCTCGCTTCGAATCTGGTGACGCGCATTTCAGATGAAGTACGGAACGAAACATCATGAAATAAAATCCTGTGTGCCAGGAAAATTGTGGAGAAGGTTGTTATATGTATATTTACATTAGAACTTCACGAATTTCAGAGAATAAAAAGGAAAAACCTACTTTTTGGCTGCATCAGCTATCTTGTTTGTTTGGGTAACGAACGGCGTGATTCTCCCCCGTGATAATATGACACTGAAAAACTTTCCGTAATATCATATTGGTATTTAGTAAAAGAACTTTGTAATAAATTAAATGGAAATTGATCATTTAGATATATTTTTAAGAATGAAGAAGTATGTTTTCTTCGGACATGGTTGAAACAAATCTTACAATACTAGACAATGGTTCATTTCATGTAATATAGGCCGCTGTCAGATAAGAAAGATTACAACAATCAAAGAAAACAATGGTATCCTGTAATAAAAGGTTCGTATTTTAGCACTAAACTAAAGTAGAGCTTCGACTCAAGTTGTAGTTTTAATATGCTTTGAGAATGCGTAATATTTTGATTAATCGTTTACTAAGATTATTTTAATTAAGTTTAAATTATTCGATTAAAAAGCTAATGGTCTTCGTTTTTATTTTAATATTTATTTCTTAAAGTTATGTTCCTAAAGTCAAATATTTTATACCCGAACGACAATAAATATGATATTGACTGATAAAGTTGTTTAAAAAGCTTCATTTACATTTTCGGAAAATAACCGAATGCGAAAGAGGAAGTAAACTTACGAGATTGTCGAGATTTACACTAGTGACGTTTACGAATGTAAAAGTCTCAAGGTGTAATATTTTTGATAAAGGAATATATTAGAAGTGAGTACTTCTTAGATATATTTAAAAACAACAGGAACCTGAAATTCTATCCAAAACAAAAAAATAACGATTTAAAAAAAATCCCATACATATACTATAAAAAAGTGTTGTTTTTTTTAAAGTATATATATGGGATTTTTTTTAAATCGTTATTTTTTTGTTTTGGATAGAATTTCAGGTTCCTGTGATAAAAACAAATGTTCAAATATTTAAGATATTCTGTTCATATGTACAAAAATATGCATCGTCAATCGGTTATGCCATGTTTAACCTCAGGGCCAACTGCATTATGGGTTTTCAAAACATTTATTTTTATCAATTCTTTCCGATAAAACAATTTAAAATAATTTTATTACAGAAATTTATTGAAATCTAGCTTATTAAGAACAAATAATAATTGCATGCTTACATATTTTTTGTAATGTATATTTGTATTTTAAAACTATAAAATATTCTTAAAAGGGTACCCTTTCAATGATAAGATTATAATGTTAGACATAAGTAGGTTACTGTATAGAAATCAAACATAACATCATGATTTATATACAAGGATTGACAGACATTCCTTTTAATACTCGAGCGAATACCACTAACTGTCTACTTAAGTAGTTTTAAATTTACAGACGATTTTGTTTATGTAAAAGGTAAAAGTTCGTAGAAGAGATGACTTGTCATATTTTGGTAGCGGCCATTGATTTCGGTACAACTTTCTCCAGTTGGGGTTTCTCGTTTAAACATGAGTTTGACATTGAACCAACCAAGGTAACTGCTAAACAATGGACTGGATTACAATCAGCAGTGTCTTTGAAAGGTCAGATTCGGATAGTTTCTAAAATATTATATCATTTACAGTCATGTTTTCATTCTTCTGTGCGTGTATGTCTTTTAAGCTCACCAGAGCTGAAGGCTCAGGGTGAGCTATTAGTATCAAAGGGGGATACTCCGGCGTCCGTCGTCCGCTGTCATGCGTCAACAATCGTCTTCTTCTCTGAAACTGCTTGGCAGATTTACCTAAAATTTGGTCTGTAGCATCCTTGTGACAGTCACACTTAAATTTGCTCATGTCATTTCAATTGGCCCCTTTAAGGGGTCAACAGAGCAAAAAATAGAAAAACCTTTTAACATCTTCTACTACAGAACTAAAAGATGGATGATCACCAAACTTTGTCTGTAGAATTCTTGGGTAGTCTTTTATCAAGTTTGCTCATATTAATCTGATTGGCCCCTTTTAGGGGTCTCTAGGGCAAAAAAATAGAAAAAACCTTGAGACATCATCTTCTACAGAACTAATTGATGGATGATCACCAAACTTTGTATGTAGCATTCTTCTGTAGTCTTTTATCAAGTTTGCTTATATTCATTTGATTGGCCCCTTTTAGGGGTTCCCTTGAGCTAAAAAAAGGAAAACATTTAGACATCTTCTTCTACAGAACTAATTGATGGGTGATCACCAAACTTTGTTTGTAGCTTTCTTTGGCAGTCTTTTATCAAGTATGCTCATATTCATTTGATTGGCCCCTTCTAGGGGCCGCTAAAGCTATAAATAGAAAAACCTTCAGACATCTTTTTCTACAGAACTAATTGATGGATGATCACCAAACTTTGTCTGTAGCATTCTTGGGTAGTCTTTTATCGAATTTGCTCATATTTATTTCATTGGCCCCTTTAAGGGGTCCCTGGAGCTAAAAAAGGAAAAACCTTTAGACAACTTCTTCTTCAGATCACCAAACTTTATCTGTAGCATTCTTGGGTAGTGTTTTATCAAGTTTGCTGATATTAATGTCATTGGCCCCTTGTAGGGGCCCGCTAAAGCTAAAAATGAAAATACCTTAAAATGTATTCTTCTTCAGCACTAATTGGTGTTAATCACCAAACTTTGTCTGCAGCATTCTTATGTAGTCTTTTATCAAGTATGCTCGTATTGATTTGATTGGCCCCTTTTAGGGGTTTCTAGGGCTAAAAATAGAAAAACCTTTAGACATATTATTCTACAGAACTATTGATGGATGATCACCAAACTTTATCTGTAGCATTCTTGGGTAGTCTTTTATCATGTTTGCTCATATTTATTTTATTAGCCCCTTTGAGAGGCCGCTAAAGCTGAAAATAGAAAAAAACCTTTGAACATCATTTCCTACTAAAATAATTGATGGAGAATCACCAAACTTTGTCTGCAGCATTCATATGTAGTCTTTTATCAAGTTTGCTTAAATTAATTTGATTGAACCCTATTAGGAGCAACTCGGGCCGTTGCATTTCTTCAAATTATAGTTTAATAATGAATGGAAAATAACTCGTGTTGGAATGTTTCTATATAAATTGTATGCATACAAAGTCATGTGAACTCTTCCAATTTGAGTGGGAGACACCCTCTTTCTCCTGTCAATTTTTTAACTCTTTTTCTTAGAATACTGTGTGTTTTTAAAAAAATAAAGAAATCTACCTCTTTTTCATTTTAAAATTTCCAACTATGTCTATTCTCAATTAGAAAATCTCACTCTTTTTGAAGTAAATTCTCCCTCTTGAACATTGAAAAAAGTTGACATGTATGTACATGTTATGCATAAAAAATGAATGAATGTCTTAATGTCATGATAAGAGATCTTGAAGTAATTCACCTGCCTTGTATCTTTCTGTTTGTGTGCATTGCATCATTGCAGGTTCATTTGTAGGTCACTCTAGAGAATTTTCCCCAGGAAATGAAATAAGGCCTAAAGAATTATTACATTTGATTCTGGTACCTTACTAACTTGGAAAAACACATTTCAATAAATATTGTGACACACTGTTGAACCTGGTGTTTCATGTGCATGGGATATTGTCACTGTGTAACAGATAGGTGATTGTTTTTCACTGAGACTCATTTACAGTACCTGTTATATTATATGACTATATAATAATAATACATAGAATAGCCTGATTGGTAGATATTAGCCTGAACTGGTCTTCTCAAGCTGCATAACCATTTTCCCAGATATCAGTTTTTTTCATATTTTTTTCATTAGGTAATGTTCAAATAATTGTTTCAATAGAAAAAAACTCAAACTAATAAGTTCAATGTTAATAAATATGAATTTATTTCATAAATTTAGATATGGCTAAAATTATTTTTCATCTTATTTTACTTATAATCTTTTTTTAACTTGCATTTTACATTAAGGAACAAAACTTAAGTTTAAGTGAACTTATGTCATTTTTAGAAGTATTTCTTGCTTGTCTTTATGTAATTTGTCATTTTTTATATTTTGTGCTATTTTAGTTTTAATTATTTCTATTCAGAATCACAGTTTGCAAACTTGGTTATTACTTGTTGAAAGTAATGTTGCACTGTTTCATACAATGTATGTAAAGTTGTTTTCATGTTCACTGAATACATTTCATCAAAACAACCTTTTGCCTTTTTCCTCTATGTAGTTAAAGTTACAAGTTTTCCCATTTCTATTAGAGAGTAAGATAATTTACCTGAAATGTTAATTTTTTGGTCGAGTTGACTAGTATACCTATGTTATCTTAAATAAATATTAACCCAAACTTGGTTCCTATCATTTTTACTATAAAGAAAAAAACAATCAGTGTCGGGAAACCTTACAACTAGAGAGGCAAGTTGAAGTTGACCTGGACTTGTCTTTCTACAAGTTTATTTAAAAATGATAATTCTATAATCACTGAAAAACAGTTGTTTCTGGTGAGCGATTCAGGGCCATCATGGCCAGTAGTGGAGACCACTTTTTTCCTTCTTTGTCTATATAAAGCAGCCATCTTGGATTTTGATTTTGGGAGCAGTCAATGTTTATCTGGAGATGTCATTTTTTATGATAAGTCATACTTTGCCTAACAATTGCTTTACAGGATCAATCCTGTAACTGTTTTAAATCTCTTACCACTATAGTATACAAGTACAAATGTTGCTGCAATGCAGCAATTGAGAAGCTCGCGCAAAAAAAAATGTGCTCATTACAGATACCTTACCAAATTATTCCTACGCACAGGTCATGTTATATTCAGATTACGTACTATTGTAGATTTTTTCCGAATGTTTTGTAAACCATTTTTTGCATAATTATACTTATCTTATGCACTGTCCATAATTAAAAAGAGGGGAAATTTTTTAATATAAAAAAGTTTTCACTGATTCCTACCTGGTAAGGAAAGTAATTCCATTGAATACAAACAAGACTTGTAAATGTTATGTGACATGACTGTACTGTGTTCTGTTTGTGTCACTACTGTAGTCAGTAACAGAAGATGATAGAAATATCAATGTCTGTTATAATTGTAACAAATATACAAATAGTAACAAAAGGGACTAATATTATAATATAGTAATATTACATGCATATTTTTCATGTCGAATTAAAAAAATGGTTTCTTTCAATACTGAAAGTAGAACACACTCTGGAATGAAAAAAATGGGATGAATTTCAAAAAGACCAAATTCAGGATTTTTTCGTTTGTAATACACGCGTTACATTGTGATACAGTATTTATCAATATAATAGAAGACTGTTACCTGAATTTTAGGTAGGTATGAGGAAATTCACTAATATCATATTCGTGCGAGACAAAGATATGAAAGCTACTTGACATTGGTAATATAAAAAAAAAACATTGTTAATTAATTTTTAGGGAGATCAATATATATTTTTTGTTGAATTGCTTTAAAACCATTCATAAAAAACATTACACTTCATGTTCAAACTGCAGATCAAAGTTTCGGTTGTTGTCATGATATCTATCTATAGCCTATGCTTAAGGTGATTCCGCTTTGTCAGCCATGTTTGTTTTCACTGTGTCTGTCCAAAGTGAAAGTAGGCCAAAATTCATATAACAACAAAGCTCTAATTGTAAAATGATAACCATTTGAAAGTACACTTACAGGTTTATATTTTAAGGATAGTTATAAACAAAAATAAAAATGATAACAATAAGAATATTTACCTTGAATGTGCTACATTTCTGAAGACCAAAAACTTTCTGTTGCAAAGTTTTATGCACATTTCATGAATGGCAAACGCCTTTTTAAAGTCTGTTTTAGTGCCAATAAAAGCTATTTTTTGCAGCAAATACAAAAATCTTTCAAAGCTTAACTCCAAATAAATCAGTATCTCATGTCCTTCTAAGCACATGGCCTCCATTTTTATTATGAACTATAAACTATGAACTTATGAACTACAATTAAAATGAAAACACAATCAAACTTTAAAATCTAACCTTTTTATGTGTAACAGTGAAGTGTCTCTGTTTGTCATGTACACAAGAAATAGGTAAATGATGGTTATTTTCATGGTACTACTTTTTTACACATGTCATGGAGGCCATGTTTTTTCAAGGTCAGATAAACTTCTTTCCTAAGATTTATGTTTTTTTAAAAGTTTTTTTATTTTCTGCAAAAAATAGTATTTGTTTGCACTAAAATAGACTTTAAACTGGATTTTGTCATTCATGAAATGTGCGTAAAACTTTGCAACAGAATGTTTTTGGTCTTCAGAAATGTAGCCCATTCAAGGTAAATTTCTTATTGTTATCATTTTTATTTTTGTTTAAAAAAGTCTTTAAAATATAGAATTGGAAGTGTACTTGCAAATGGCTCATCTTATAACAATGTGAGCTTTGTTGTTATAAGAGATTTGGCCTACTTTCACTTTGGACAGAATTTGTGAAAACAAACATGGCTGAGAAAGCGGAAACACCTTATTGAAGGTCCATCCGCTCGTAAGGTTCAAACTACAGCTTTCGCTGTCGAGTACGGACCCCCGAACATATCACCAGTCATACCACTAACTTTTTTCTTCTTCACAAAGTGGTATGCTG